CCATACAACCACCTCTCCAGAAACACACACCATCATGGGGCAGGTGGCACTGGGAACTCATGCTCTTGCCCTTCACAGCAATATGAATTCAGCTGGAAGGAAGGCAAAGGGGAACATCTTGATGCTGTCTATCATACTGTAGGCTTTCCATCGTTGTTTTTTCTGCCTCCTTAAATCAGAACAGTCTCACAGCACATCGCCCCATCCGCAATACTACATCACAGTTGTCATCCACAACATCTAAAGTCCACCGTGGTGTTGCAAGTAAGCATTAACAGAATATTTTGTGTAATTACTTCTTCAAATCACCCACCTTGGCTGGGAACTCTGGAGCTCTGGGGCTATCTGTGGCCTCCAGCACGTAGCTAAAAACTTCTGCAAGTAATTTCCAATATGGCAGATGAAGGAAGCAAGCTCTTTCTGATAACTCTTGCAGTAATGCCTTGCGTATGGTGCGTGCCCGCACAGCAGAGGTCCAGACAGAGCAGATGTGACAAGAATCTGTGCTCAATACAGGAGGTGGCTAGGGAACTGCAAATTGGTTTGACACTGATGCCAGGCCAGGACGCAGGGCTGCAGATGGGGCCTCACAAGAGCTGCGCAGAGGGGGACGATCACCTCCCTCTCCCTCCTGGCCTCCCCTTTTTTAATGCAGCCCAGAACACAGTTGGCCTTCCAGGCTGCAGGCGCGCACTGCTGGCTCACGTCCAGCTTCTCATCCACCAAGACCCCCAGTCCTTCTCCACAGGGCTGCTCTCAAGGGATTCTTCGCCCAGTCTATACAAACACCTGGGATTGCCCCAACCCAAGAGCAGCACCTTGTACTTGGCCTTGTTGAACCTCAACAGGGATGGCAATCCATACTTCTGTTCCATTCTAGTACTCTGTAGGGCGCCTCTGGGAGAGGAGACACTCTGAAAGAGCAGCAAGACTTTTTGGCAGGGCCCAATGACAGCGCTCAAAGAGGAGACAGCTGACATAAAGTCCTTTGGATTACATGCAGAAGTGCCGACACGCTTCCAGAGGGAAAATGCTATGAATGTGAGCAGACTGGGCTATTCAGACAAGAATTAGTCTATATTCTGAATAATGACAACAGCTCTCTTTCAAAGCTTTATTAAAACTCATGTCTAGACAAATAACTGTTTCTTCTGATCAAAGTTCTGATGTACTAGCACATGTACAATGAAAGCCATAGTTTACTTTCATTTGAACTGTAGCCTTGGTGTACTCATATAAGGCAAGTGCCATCTTTTTGTGTACAAACTCAGCATAGTCAGTGCAAATTCTTTATTTGAAACAATGACCAATGTACAAGCTGGATCACAATTCTTTTTGCCACTAGAGCATGAACTGGTCTCTGTGGTTTACGGCTGCGAACTATAAAATTGTAGCAGTTATTTAAATCAAAATACAGTAGCTGCTTCTCCAGAGAACATCGTTATCTCATATTTCTCATAAAATTAAAAAGGATTTCATAACAAATGAAATATTACAGGATACTTCAGTGCAAACATTTCCTTTCCATCTAAGAAGCTCTCAGTTGTCCCACAAAGTATGACATACTCTTAAAATAGCATGCTGCCAAGATAGGCCATGAGAACTTGTAAAATTCAACGCTTAATACTTCTCAGAATTAGTTGCTCTGAATCAAACTGAGGGTCAGAAAGCCCTGATTACGTTACAGTACTTTTGTCAGAAGGTAACTGCAAATGGAGGAACTGACATTGTACCCACGTTAGAATAAAACAGGCACTGTTAAAAAAAAGTAAAAATCAACATCTGCCCGTATGTGCCATTCAGCAAGACTTACGATGATAACACGGTAGTTTTTAAGGAGCAAACTGCTATGCCTCACCTAATACCAACAAACCTGCATAAAATGCTGATCTATCCTTTCTCACAATTTTGAAATGACAGTCTTTAAAAATGAGTGAAAGGGAGAGACTTATGAGCACATGCGTTCAGAAAACAGAAGAGGGTCAGCAGTATACAAGTGCTGATCAGAAAGAAAATGCTGTCAGTAAATAGTGAGCACAGTGTTCAAGTGGTCTGATTAATACAATCTTACGTGTAGTGCAAAAAGAACAGTGAGTGTCAAAAAGCAAATCCAACATTGATTTGTTGTGCTGCAGAAATCTAGCCATCTTTCATGAAGTTCCAGCAAAAACATTTGAAATAGCATAAATATATTCTGCAAATTTCCTTTCCTTTCTGAGCAGGCCTGTTGTTCCGTATGCTTTTAAAATGTGAGTTTGCTTAGACAGGGTTTTCCAAGTGCTGAGCACTTTAAGAACAATTGCTGCTTGATAAATAAAACAGTGCAGCAAAAGGTGTGCAGAGTCCAAATATGACAACAGATTACCTAATGTCCCTGAAGTACTTAATGTGAACAAAAATACACAACAATGCAAACGTTAATGTTTTTTTTCAAACCATCAATAATTTTATATTTGTTAATAGTGTTCTTGTGACATAAAATAGCCATTCCATAGGAAACACTGAAATATATATATATATATATATATATAAATTGCTTACTTTAGGAAAACACAGCCAGAAAATTTGGAAGAGGAAAGATGGGTTTGGATCTTGCAGCCCACATACCTCCCACAAAGGAAGTACCTGGAAGCATTGAAAAAGCTTTATGCTTTCAGGTGTAGTAGACACATAAAAGAGAAGAAATACATAAAACAAAACAATTACTGTGTTTTCTTTCAGTACAGCACTGTTCTGTGTTTTATTCCAGTAGTACCACCAAGCTCTATGTCCAAAAGCTTTACAGCAGACTGGCTGTAAAGACTTGGCAATCAGTGACTTCAGCTTCAGCAAAGTCAGTTGGGAAGTTCCCTTTGACCTTGCAACAGCAGAAATTCAGCACCATACCTATTGCACGCATCCATTCCAAGTTACTGTTGCTCACAAATGATTCCCAAGGTGTGTCTGCATATAAACACATACTCTTCGTGGGGCATTCTTTGGAAAAAAATACAAACTGTATCTTCAAGAAAGTTTACACAGAAACACTAAATGGGATCAGGCAGTCAGGAACAGAATGGCCTTGTACCAATCACCACATGAATGCATGAAAGTGTCTGGTCTCCACTGGAAAAATTGGTAATTAGAATGCAAACAAAATTAAAACCCATTGTTTACTTATGAAATTTTTTTTTTTTTTTTTAAGTGCAATTTTATAATTATTGAAGGAGAACATCCTTTATCATCTGAGCAGGCTTAGTTGGGCACCAAGCAGCTAAATTACAAAGTGTGTCACCATTGTTTGTAAATACTGGGCAGGCAGAAAAACCAAGATGCCTCTTTTCAGGAGCTCAAGGTGAATGAAAGGAATTTAATGCAAGTCCCTGCTGTTTTGTTTTTTTTTTTTCCTGCCCTCATCCTCTTTCAAACTAGAACCAAAGTGAGTGATTTGAAGAAAAACCGATATGATCAGTGAACAGAAATGTATTTTGGACTCAGACAAGGAAATAAGCTTGCACCACAAGTGTCTGAAATCACACCGGTCAGGTGTGAAGTTCCTCATGCTGTTCTTACCTCTCGTTCTAGATTTATATTGCTTCTAAAACGTTTCCAGCCACATTCCTTGAGGGATTTTGCCCTTGCGTGTCTCCTTTTGGATACGTGCAAATGCATTTTGTAGAGATGCTTACCACAGCGGTGAGCACCAATGTTAAACAACTAAATGCTGACATTTTCATGAGTTTATCACAAAATCTCAAGTCCTTCATTAAACAAGTATTTTTTTCAGTAACCATGGAAAGGTGAGTCACAAGGTGTTCCTGTATTACACTGCTAGTGAAGCTCTGCTCTTTAATACGAAGATAACCTCAATCTGTTATCAGTGTCTTTTTTTAGATGGCTGCCATCTTGACTTTGCTTGGTCTCGATGAGCTGTGCAGCTAACACAGCTGATTACCTCCAAAGGACACCTTATGTAGATATGACTACTTGAGTAACACTTCCAGAGAGCCATCCATGCATCACCTCTCTGTAGACCTACGTGAGAGGTGATTATTTTTTGCCAATCTACTAGATTCCAGATTTGAATATCTATACATACACCACAGTCTTCCTTAAAAACTACTAGGTAATAGTAAGTTCCTTAGTTCCAAATTAAATGTGTGTCAGATAATGAAGTAACATGCTATTAACCCTAAAGAAACTCGTCCTTTTAATGCTTTCTTTCCAGACTTACTCTAAATAAGGTCCTTCTTATTATCTGTCTGCAATACAGAAGACCACTTTCTTTCCACTCCTGGCATAAATGTCTATCTTTTTTTTAATATGTCCCAACTGCTGTAATACTAAAAGTTATACTGGGATAGAGTCACATGTTCTCCAGTAGGAAACATCCTACCGTATGCAGGAGGTTCTTAAAATATCAAAGAAATTATAACACAGTAAAACAGTTTGTGTGACTGTCATTGTAATTTCACAGCACCCTTTATTTTTTTTTTTAATTTGGATATAACACCCTCCAACTTACGCTCACAGATAAATTTAGACTCGATCTCCAGAATAAAAATCCGCACAAAATTGAGAATCCGAGTACAGGTGCCTTCTGCATTTCACCCTTATCATCTGATTACTGGAGTTTGCAGGATTATTAATGCAGCTGCGTGCCTTCAAATTACTACAAAGCAAGACATCCTGTATGTTTGCAACTGTCCTCCTTACAAACTTCAGGCGAAGTTGGAGACAGACAAACAAATGCAAGAAAAATCCTGCAGGGTTCTGACTGCAAATTTTCTTAAGATGCTTAAGGGCTTTCCTATCTTTAAAATACACCTTAAAGTTGGTTCTTGACAAGAAAAAAAAAAACCAAAACAAAAAAACCGCCTACCCACTCACTGGCATCTTCATTCAGTGGAAAAGGGAAAACTACTTCCCTTGTGCCTAAGCAGGCTGGTCCCAGATGAAATGCAAACATTTTAACTTTCTTTAATGGCCTTTTCAATCACAATGCAGCTCGGCAAACAGGCTTTGTAAAAGTAATCTATTAGGACTTTATTTGGCTATGGGAGCGCTGCCTCTTGGGCAATAATTCAAATTCACCAGACAGTATTTGCAAAATAATGGAAAATAATGACTGTGAAGGAAGAAAATGAAAACCTGTTTTGTGTTCAGTAAGTTCGATGTCCTACATCAAATACTACCAGTGACTTCCAGGTGGCCACTACAGGTGACTCCAGCCTAGAAAACGCTGAGGTAAATGTTTCTTGGAAATACTCCTAATCCAAAAGAGCAAATAGTATTAATGTATTAGCAATTACTCTGCTATACATCATGATAAATTAAAGTCAAACTGAGAAGAAAGTGCCAATAATCCACATACATGCTTTGCTATGATAGTCTCCTGGTAAGGCTTAGCGGCAAGTACAATATGTATTTTTAAAAGAGCTCCACCTGATTTTCCTGCTATGCATAGATTCAGGAGTAACTATCATACATGGCTTTCATATATAACACACGTGTCATTTGCCAATGCTGTGTCATCAGAACTCAGTTCGGCAGAAGGCTCAGGAGCGGGCTCTGCTGGAAGTGCTGGTGTTTGAGGAAGGTCTTCTTCCTTGGTGTCCAACTGCACGCTTTCCTGTGACTGACCGTCCATGCAGTCCTTTTTGGACAGCGGGTGAACCGACACTTTTATTGCAATCTGTTGCGGTGGCTCATGCAGTGAAGATGCATCAGAGTCAGCTGTGGGAGAGTCACTGCGCTTCAAAGCATTCGGGATCGTGTAGAGCTCGTCTGTTTCAGCGGTTTCCTGGCCTTCTGCTGTCTGCCGTACAAAATTCTGTCCTTGCTCCTCCAGACCGACAACCTCCATAATTTCTTCCATTATAGTCCTGCAGTTCATGATGAGAGGTGGCAAAGGCACACTCCGAGCAAGCTCTTCGATATAGCGAGCAAATTCCATGGTCTTGAACTGTGTTACTTTGGCAAGCTCGAGCGTTTTGGCTGAAGTGATAATTGGGATACGTTTTGCAATCTCAAAGGCTTTCTGGAGTTTCTCTGCTCCTTCTGTTCTGAAGAATTCGTTGATTGCTTTCTCCGTTTTCTTCAGGTGACTGCTCATCATGCACAGCCGCGTAATGTTCAGTATCATAACAATGGTGAAAGCTACAAGGCAGACAATCATGTAGTAGATACCCATATCTCCAGAAGTAAAGATGACCCTCAGAGTCACAGTATTGTTAACACTGCCGTGCATATTAGATGCAACACACGTGTATTTACCTCTGTCTTCAAAAGACACGCTGGTAATGTTTAGGAGCCCATTGTCAAGAAACCACCATTTTCCTGCTGGAAAGGAGAACACATAACTTACTTAGGGCAATTTCTAAACTCAACAGTCCAAAAAAACCATTTTTAATACATAGCAGGTATGGGCTTTTATCACTGTTGTGTTGGTTTTTTTTCCTAATTAAACACACATAGAATAAATAAAATATTAGATTTTAAACCAGAACTTCACATAGAAGAAATCACTCCAATCACTTGAAGATGGAGAAGTTTTGAGTAAAACTGTTTTACAGTGGATGTGTCAACATCTGTAACACTTCCTTTTCCAGTTCTGGGTTAAGATGTACAGTACTGGCTGCTGGGCATTTCTTTGAATTGCAGTGTTGGCAAAGTAGGTCTTCGTTCACTGTAAACTGACAAGACATCTTGCTGATGTGTTCTGGCTCCAACTACTACAAATGAGATAACAGCACTGAACTGTGATTCAAAGACCCTGGCAGACAATGTAAGCCACATGTGAAAACAATAAGTAGATAAGGTGTCATAGCTATATTTTTTTATAACAGCTGAACACCTTTTTCAGCCTAACCACACATATGGATCTTGTGCTAGGGAACGTTTCTTACGTGAACCGTATTCTTAAAGAAGTGCAGTGCTGAAAGTAAAAGATGAAGTTACATTTTCTTACGCCATATTTGCATTTTCATTGATTTGCTCAAAGTTTTTGCTTATCTACCTGAATGCTTGTGTTAGCAGCTACCTCTCTGTCAGCTACACTAAGATCAAAAGTTAGATGCCTAGCTAAACAGGAAAGCTTCTATTAGTAAGCCCTAGCAAAACTCTCTATGTGGTCCTATGACCATGCACATATTACATCGGCTTAACTAAGTCAAGCAGCTTCTTTCTCCAGCTCTATAAAAAAAACAAAAAAAAAAAAAATATATATATATATATATATATGCTGTTGTAGCACTTATAGTTGGGTCAATCATTTCCATAATTCCGTAACTCCATAGAGTTGTCCCTCAGTTCAGCTGTTATTTAGACAAGCTGTCCTGCAATTATTATCAATTATTAAGAGTTTATTTCATCGTGCTGTGAACAAAGCAGTCAGTATAGAAGCATTACAGGAACAAAAGGAACAAAACACCTTCCATCTCCCCCCCACTAAATGCTCCCTAAAAGTACAATTCTCCACCAAACCTTCCTTTGACCTAAGGACAACAAGCTCATGTGAAATGAAGGTCCCTGGCAAATACAGCAGTCCTAGTGCAGCCAGAATAGCTCAGACTTGGCTTGTCCATCTAACCACTGCCCGCTGTGGGAACTGTTGAACCATGGCCTGAACCACTGATTGATCACCTGAGTCAGCCCTGGGAGCACAGGTGAAGCTGTAGACCCCGTTTAAGGGCTGACTGCCACTGGGGAAGGGTCTCTTTCTGGGGATCCCTCCTCTGTGGAGTCCTTCCTGAGAATCTGGATCTTTGGATTCAGGTGAGCATAGAATCATAGAATCACAAGGTTGGAAACAACATGTAAAATCATCTAGTCCAACTGTCTCCTCATCACCATTGCCACTAAAAGCACTAGAGGATTCCTTCCCTGTTTGTTTTTTTTCCCCATTTTCACCACAATTATCTTTCCAGCTGTAACACCAACTATAACATGCCCTACATAGACTTTTTCATTGGTTATTCAGAGCAACTCCTGTTTCTCACACATGTCGAGGTACATAAAGATGGGGAGAGCAAGCAAGAAGTTACTTTCTTTGAAACTGTGCCAATGAACTCTTCCCATACGCCACGAAAATCTTTCCTTGAGTTGGAAAATAGCTTTTCTGTCTTCCATGGTGTCAGAGAAGAACAAAGACAAGAGAATGAATAATAGGATCAAACCTGAAGTCTTCCACTGAAAAGAAGCCTGCCTACAATATAAGCATTTCAGCTTCTTGCTACGGTTTGCTATAAATAACACACAACAAAAAAATTTTCTTCTGAGATGTACACAACATTTATAGCTGTATAATCAAAGAATATTAGGATGTTACAATCACAAAATAAACAAGAGAGTTAGGCAAAACAGACTATGATACCAAAAGAGAATAAATAGAAGACTTGCCCCTATTCTGGGCTCACTCACAAAACACCAGCAGATCTCCAGAAGAGATCCTTCCCCCCCCCCGGTAGCCAGCTCTTAAATAGGGCTAGGAGGCAGCACAGCTGAATTGCCTTCACCTGTGCTCCTCTGGCTGACTCATGGCTTGCCTCAGGTGATCAATCGGAGGTTCAGGCCGTGACTCAGCTGTTCCCATACAATAGCTGATACGATTTGTATATTTTCCTGCAGGAAAATACCAGTGTGCAGTTATTAAATTAAGGTTAATTTTTAGTTAACTTGCTGAAATCAGAAGTGTCTCAAGACAGGCTACATTGCTAATAATATTAAAAACCTTACCTTTATTCTCTTCCTCTTGAAGCAGGCGGCCGTTGGAATTGTACCATCTGTAACGTGGACTAGGGCTACCTTGGACACTGCAGTCAATCAAGGCGCTACACCCCTCCTTGACTATGATGTGGTCGATGTGGGAGATGACCACAGGCACAGATCCTGTGTTTGTGCCAGTGCGGTTGAAAGTGCTATTAGTCACATCCTCAGCAGTTGTCAGAGCTGCTAGTAAGATGACAAGGCGTATGGTAGGCAGAAAGCACGAAGAGTGGTGCCTGCTCAGTATGTTCATTTTCCTTCAGTGCTATACGCAGCTGGCTGGAAACTGGAGTTGGTTCTGTACAATGTAGGCCCTTGAGGTGAGGAGGTCACAAGAGAGCCTTATTTTGATCCATGCAATTTTTTTTTTTAATATCCTAAAAAAAATAAGTATAATGAGATGGCCCGTATAAACAATCCATTAGATGTGCTCCTTTAAAACAGTGACACATCCATTAATGCATTTCACAATCATCAGCTCAATGTCTTGTCTAAATGCTAATGTTATCAGGCCTTTTTCTTACTGGAAAAAGATGCATACATTTTCCTGTTGTTCAGAGCAGCAGGCGTAGGAGAAAGCTTTTATCACCTAGACACTTAGCAGCAATTTAGCTACAGCAGCAGCTACAATTTTATTCCAAAAGTTCTACAGATTTTTTTTTCTTTTTTTTACATCTGCAAAATCAACAGGGGAACAAAGGTACAGCACATTAGAGCTGTCACTACCAGTTCAGTGCTGCAGCTCTGTCATGCACAGTCTTAGTTGAAATGTGGAACGTGTCAGAAGGAAGAACCACTCCAGGAAGGGGTTTTTGGAGCTGCTGCTAGAGCCCTTAGCATTCAGTTTTGTCTGAATACAGTAGAGTATACAACAGAACATCTAAAACCATTCCCTTTTTTTTTTTTCCAGATTTTCTGAGATAAAATGTAACATGGAGGAGATATGTAAAAGAGGGTATTTAGTAGTTCATAAAGTCATTTTTAGAGCACATTTGGAAAGAAAAATATTTGCTAGTGACATGCTTATGGGCAAGGTTGCCTTGAGGTACCAATGAAGCTGGGACTTTTCTATTCCTTATGTGGCCTTAAGTATTTTGCTCGATCAGTTTTTGCATGCTCTCACAATAATATTTTTCCTCAACTAACCATCTACAATGAGCCCTTTATTTAACAATGACTTCAGTTTGTAGACAGAGGAGAGGGAGTTACAAATGTGCTCTCTACTGGCCTTATTATGCTCCCAGAGAACACAATGGGCATTTGCCACTGACTGATGGCACAACGTTGACCTCAAGATAAGCACCTCTCAAAATTTTACTCAGAGTGAGTGAGGTGCTGGAACAGCTGCCCAGAGAAGCTGTAGATGCCCCGTCCATCCCTGGAGGTGTTCAAGGCCAGGCTGGATGGGGCCCTGGGCAGCCTGGGCTGGTATTAAGTGAGGAGGTTGGTGGCCCTGCATGTGGCAGGGGGTTGGAGATTCATCATCCTTGAGGTCCCTTCCAACCCTGGCCATTCTGTGACTATTAGTTGGAGCAATCTATCTGCAATCTAAACATAGGTCACAGTTAGTATCCAACAAACGTGCTCTAAGCGAACATTTCACTTGCAAAACTGTTTACATTGTACTGAAGATTCGTTCGATGTCATGGTACCTCATCTGCTTTAGCATGGAGAAATGACTGCTGACAAAGTTAGGCAAATTACACATAAACAAGGAAAACTAAAATAAAAGCCTCTTCTTTACTCAGAAAGAAAACAACATTACTGTCTTTCACTGGTTCAATTTGTCTTAGGCTGTTTTCTTCTCCATTCCCTATTCTCTGTAATGCAATGAAGTTGATTTTGTACAAATGGATACAGCTGTTACTAAAAGAGCAGATTAGTTTTCTCTAATCTGTGGGATGGATCATTACTGGAAACAAAAAGCTATGTTTGTGTTTTGTTTTTTTTCTTCTGAGAAGCTGCATGAATGGTATGGATGGCTGTCATTGCTTTAATTCTGCCCTCATTTTCTCTCAGTTTTCCTAAATACTGAACGTGGAAATACCTGCCTTGATGAGGCAGAATTATTTTTAACCTTAAATTAACATGCAAATCTCATTTGTTCTGTCCATGTAAAACCACATGAACAATCACTTCAGAAATCCATTTCCCTCTGTGCAAACTGTGAAAAGTCTAAATTCTAGACATTCTCTATAGATAGGCACAGTGTGTCTAAATCTCTGCCTTGGAAAAAGTCCTTCAAATCTGCTTATTCACTTCAACAACTATTTACATCTAATTTCTACTACTCCATCAACCTTGGAGACAGCCATTCTCTATGGCTACACAGATTCAGTCTATAAAATGCTTGTGTACAGTGTTATAGATCTGCATTGCACCATAGAGAAAAGCCAAAAGACATGTCACACTTCCTGGCAAGGGAAGGAGGAACAAAGACTGGCTGGTACAAGACAATGGGAAGGGCAAAGGAACAACATAAACTGCTCAAGCGTTTATTGCTAATTACTGACTGCAGCCTGTTCTTGTTGTATTTGAGCAGATTTTCTGATGGCAGAAAAATCTATAGCAATCCAAACTGTTGTTTGGTACAGAAAATAATTTGAATCCTAGACAGAAATGAAACATCAAACAGCAGGTGAACAGGACCCTCAATCTATTGGGAAGCTCAGTTTGGTTGGTGGCTTTGGTGGCCCAGTGAGTCCCTGCTGTGCTGGGCTGCTACGGATGGATGTTTTGGAAAGTGTGTGGTGGCAGAAATGGTGTGAGGATACCTATTCTGTGTGTTTACCTGTGCTTAACACAGAGCACATGAAAGCAAAATCTGCACCTTTGTGTAGTGGTAACAAATCTGACTGCTTAGCATGGTCAAAGGGGCTGTTTACTTGTCTGAAAATAACAGCTGCTCCCTCCTTCTGGCACAACGCAAGTGAATCACACATAGATGCAGTAAAAGTTAAGATACAGAGACAAAATAATTGACATCTACTTGTGTTACTCTTGGGAATGTACTTTCTCATGTACGTTCCTGGAATGCAGAATGCTATGAAAGCGCTAAATGCTTTCACAGGTGCATATCTGCTTGAAATAAATACAGTTTGATGGCTGCTATGAGCAATAATCAAGCAGGAATCTTAACACAGAATGTTCGGGAGTGGTGGCTGCTGCTTTCATGTGCCATCCAGGGAAGGCCTATTGATGGTCATCTGGTTTTATCCGAAGAATCAGAGAGAAATCTCTCTGAAGAAGTGTTTTAAGATGCTAGTTTAGACAAATGTTCCTAGGCAACGAAGAATAGGAGATCTTTTCTTTGGTGTGCATCCTACGCACTGTTAGTGGATAACAAAAAAAAAAATATGGAAGAAACCAAAGGTTTTCTCAGCTCCACCTAATAAGAGAAAGTTAAAGGGTAGCCACTTGGGTAGCTATCCATCCTGGACCCTCTGCTAAGCTGCTGTGCAGGACCAAAAACGTTGTAGTCAGGTTTGGAAAGCAGGAAGGAGAATTGGAAACAGTAGAAAATGTGCTGACACCAGACTGTGGTGCAAAGGGAGATGTCCTGAGAGTTTCCATCCTGCTTTTGCCTGACGCGCAGCAGCAGCTGAGGATGTTAAGGAAAGCAACTCTGGGAGTCACTGCTTTCTTAAACATAAGGGATGCAATGGGCTTTGATTCAATTGCACAACTAAAAGGCAGGCTCAGGGCACTGAAACAGGACTGCTAGTGATGTCAGCCCACTTCTAGTGAAGACACATGAGAATCCAGGGTATGGGAGAAGTGGGCACAGTGCTAATTGCTCTGGTTCTTGGCCGTGACAGGTTTTACTGAACTGTGGCCCATAATGAAAACTATGAAGGCTGCCAAATTCATAACCTTTTAATTTCACTCTTGGTCAGAGAACAGCTAGACTGGCTAGACTAAAGACTCCTGCAAGAACTCCTTAAGACTGAGAGTAACACAGGATGCTTGTGAAGGGGGACATCGTAATACAGGGTATTGCTCAAAAACAGCACAAGATGAGCTATGTGAGGGAACTGCAATAGGCTTTTCTTCTAAGTGACAGGACAGCTGTCTCTGTGGTGCTATCTCTGCCTTTTTATCTAGAGAAGTTGCCTGGAATAGGCTTGAGAGCAAGCACAGCCGCAGGCTGATGGTATCAGTGCTGACTGTGAAATGGACCAAAACTGAGACTAGAACTTCTCTGCCCAAAGCCACTGATGGTCTTAATAGAAGACACTTGCAGCAGACTGGCTGGAAACACAAATGACTCAGAGAAATGTTCTGACTGACCGTTTACTTTTTCACATCACAGATGACTTTGCTTCCCAGTATTACTGCTGCAAAGGAAAAGTACTGTGAGTGAAGTGCTACATTTTAAAGCACTGCATTTGTGCAGAATGACATGACAGCACAAAAGAACGTAAGTCAGTGATGCATACCTTTTCCTGGCTTGCATGCTCCTGTAAGACTTGCCTGTTCTTGTACTTGGAATAATGTATAATCCTATTAACTGTGAGGTTATTCAATTCAGAAGTGAAGCACAAGAAGTCAGTTCCAATGCATAAATTATAGACCTACAACTTTAACATCTCAATGCTGTCTTGCTTAGTGACCAAGAAAATGAAATGATTTTCAGTTTATAAATAACAATCAAGAATGATGCTACAAAACAAAATTAATGCTAATTTTTTTTTAAACTACATATTACATTTCCTCTTCAGACCAATCCATCTCTTAGTTGCCATGGGCAATGCCTTTTCAAAGTGGGCAACAGTAAAAGCCAACAGGTGTCACTGGAACAGGAATGCAAATGAAGGAACACTGTTTCATCATAATAACACACAAGCTGGAAAGTTCATTGCCAGTGAACTAGGAGAGTGAAAACTACCTAATGAAAAGATTAAGCTATTAGGGTCCAGATAGCAGATGAAGAGAAATACAACTCATATACATCTTGCAGCAACTTCCCGACTTGTATCTCTAGTCATGTGCTAGTCAATAAAATACTGCAGCTTGCTTCTCAAAAAGCTGTTTTTCGTTCTTTTGGGGAGGATTTCAATCCTTCCTAACTTCACTGTCTTCCACTTTCCTGGCTACTGTGTCAAATAGGTGACACGCTGGCAGCATTTGTAGGTTGAAGAGCTTCCTTCTGCCCATCTAGACTGCAGCTTCCAGCTGGGCAGCAATTCCCAGCTAGGTGTGTTTTAGTCTCTTTGGCTACATGCAGCTGCCTGGGAAGCTTTCAGAAACTTCTTGTCAAGGCTGTGTGATGCTGCCTGGCCCTACTGTCAATGCCGCTTGGTGACACACACTTGCTGCCTTCAGGCACGCGATGTGAGGGTATGAGGGACACAGACCCAGGCTCCTCTCACAGGAG